CTTTGACGCCGGAAACCGCTCCCTTCCAGCCCGAAAGGACAGGACCTGCAATGTTCTACGCTCTTCAAACCTCGAGCCACAAACCCCTTAACCTCTGAAAGCCCCAGAGAAGCCTCAAGACCCAAAAAGCTCAAGAACCCTTAACCCCAACGCCTTCTGGACCCTTGAAAGCATAAACTCCAAGCCGCCTAAGCCCCAAAATCCACACCAAAGCTTTGGACGTGTAATCTGTAGTTTCCTGGCTCGTGAAAGGCTCACGTGTTAACCTATCCGCGTTGTAACGCCGCCTCCCGTGTAACGAACATTCCTACCTAGTTCATCGCACACCTGTCCTCCTAATCTCCAGTAGTCCTTATACTTGCCCAAGGTCGGGGATTCGTCTGCACAGCCCAACATAGCTGATAATTCATCACTTGTCTAGGCCATGCTAGAGAAGTACCGAAGAGAATCGACGCTGAGGCAGTCAATTTCTAAGATGATGGTGGCAATGCAGATTGCCATAGCAATAGACAGACTTGTTTAGGGTTTAGGGTTTATGTGGTTTAGGGTTTAGGGCACACACCCGATCATGGAAGCCCGTGGAGGGAAGGCAAACCAGTCACAGCAACACGCACCGTTTTAAGCCTGACTCCTACACTAAAGTCTTGGCCCTCAACCCACTAAGCCACATGCTTATGGGTCAGATCCGCAGGACGAGATTAATTGGGACGATGACTCGATAGAGGTCCTTTCCCTGGCGCTGCATGCCTGTGGTGTTGAGTTTAGGGTTTAGGGTTTAGGGTTTAGGGTTTAGGGTTTAGGGTTTAGGGTTTAGGGTTTAGGGTTTAGGGTTTAGGGTTTAGGGTTTAGGGTTTTGGTTTAGGGCTAGGGTTTAGGGAGGTTGGCTTCAAACTTAGGGCGCTGGGATGCTTAGGGCTTATTCGCTCAACACTAAAGCCATCCCACTACCCCCCCCCCCCCCCCCTCCATACTATCCCCTTACCCCCCCCCCCCCCCAGGTTCACCCCTTGAATAAACTTAATTGGCGTAATTATCCCTAAGCCTTAGTTATTGGGGGGGGGGGGACCTAGGGGGGTAGTATAGAGGGAGGTAGCAGGGGAACCCCTGAATCAGACTTTCAAGTTTAAAGCGACCGCTAATCACATACCGTCACATACCCAACAAGGGACCATGATCTTGAGAACTGACCATGCGCTTAGCGTTCAGGGTTTGGGGTTTAGGGTTTAGGGTTTAGGGTTTAGGGTTCAGGGTTTAGGGATATTGACCATGCGAACCCTAGGCCCCTGAATCGCAAGCCCGAAATCTTTCCGGCTCCCAGGCCCGAAGCCCTAGGACTCGGAGGAATTTTAGAACCCCTATAAACCCTAAATCTTAACCCTTAAGCCCAAGGACTCGGAAGCCTACGCTGAAAGCAACTTAAGCCCATGATGTTCGGCCACTGTGAAGGGACCCAAGGGCTTCATTCAGGGTCTGCGTCTTAGGGCATAGGGGTACCAGAGTGCGTTCTTTGATGTGCATTGGTACTACGGCAGCCTGCATCCAGTCCTACGCCGCGCCCTAAACCCCTAGGATCCTTAGTATGGGCTGTGAAATGGGGACCTCTGATAAAAACCCCTCAAATATCCTATAAGAAATTAAGGGCCCATACTTCAGAACCCTTTAAAGAAAGTAAGGGACCATATTTACTAGGGAATCATGCAACTACCTTTAGATGAATGCGTCAGAACCCTTTAAAGAAAGTAAGGGACCATGTTCAGGAACCATGTAACTACCTTTAGATGACGAGGTTGGCATCGAGTTGCAGAACCGGCCGAGCAAGCGCTCCCGCCTGATTTCTCTTATCAGGGTTGAGAAGGGAGGAGCTTGGGCCCTCAACCCTAAACCCTAGTCCCTAAACGGGTTTAGGGTTTAGGGTTTAGGGCTTCCCTAAACCCTTAAACCCTAAGCCCCTGTCCGGAAACCCGCATCCGGAGGGGGCCATTTATTGTGTTTGGCACCCCAAATCCGAAGCCCCAAGGAGACCAGGGGCATGGGTACTGAACCTGGCGGTTTTTAGGGTTACAGGGAATGATCCCTGCTCTACCAACTTTAGGGGGCTCTACAAGTACAACGTATAGCCGAACATTCCGCACCTAGACCCTAAACCGGGTTTGGGAGCTGCAGGGTGGAACAGGCTGATGGTTTCGGGTCTAAGGTAGTTGAGGCTTCTAGATTCCCAAAAGAACCTTGTAGGGTTTAGGAAGGTCTAGGGTTTAGTTAGGGTTTAGGTCGAGTGTTTAGGTCGAGTGTTTAGGGTCTTGTTCTTCGGACATGCAACAGCCAACCGCTCTCTTAGCCAGGGTCCTCACGCTCACGTCGTGAGGGCATCGATCGGTGCAACGGGGAACCCGCGAGGGGGGGGGGGGGGGGGGGGGGGGGTACCCCGAACCCTAAGCCACTTTTCTCAAAGTAGGGAGGGGGGGGTGTGTAGCTGTCTGCCTTAAGCATGGTGAAGAGAACTATCTGGTTGAACATGGAACCCAAGGGAAGAGTAAGAGCATTACTTCAAAATTTGGCCCTAAACCCTAAACCCTAAACCCTAAACCCTAAACCCTAAACCCTAAACCCTAAACCCTAAACCCTGACAGGAGTATGGTGAGGCTTGAAGGGCAGGTTGCTCTCAACATTAGAACCCTCTTTCGGTGGGCTCCGTTTTTTACAAGGGGTTCTGGAGTGTTGGGGGTTTAGGTTTAGGGTTTAGGGTTTAGGGTTTGGGGTTTGGGGTTTGGGATTTAGGGTTTAGGGTTTAGGGTTTAGCTCCTTGGCATGCCAACTTAACACCAGAGCTGTCACGGAAAACCCGCAATGACTGCCAGCATTTTTCCATACCTTGTTTTCGTATTATACTGTCTACCCAAGACACCCATTCTAACGAAGCAGGCCCCTGAAATATGAAACGTTCGGGTTCGGGCACGCGCGTTTAGGAAACACGAAACCTTAAGAACCCTAAACCCTCATTTGGATTTAGGGCTCTGGTTTCCGGTTCAGATTTTAGAGGGGCTGGGCGGGGGCCAAGGAGCTGTCAATGTTCGCACATGGGGTTGCTGTTAGTAAACCCTAAGCCCGAAACCCTAAACCCTAAACCCGAAACCCTAAACCCTGAACCCTAAACCCTAAACCCAAGGGACTAGCTTGGTCCCCTAAGGTGGCACCCTTGGGTCTGCGGATCTTGTGAAAGATCCTCTATAAGGGAATTTAAGGGGCCATGTTAGGAGCATAGTCACCGAACCTTTTAGGGGCACAAGCTTAGGGTACGGGTCTTAATCCCTTGATTGTAATGAGGGTTTAGGACGTCATACGACTTTTTCGCATAGCTTAGGGTTTAGGGCACCCCCCTCATGCAGACTTGCAGTCTTTCTGCGGTCCCGTGGGGACACAGTGCTTCGGCAGCGACAAAGCCTAGGCTGACCAGCTGGCAGAGCGTCACCCACCCCCCAAGCCTAAGCCCCAACTCTAAGCAACAAACTCTAAATCCCACTCCCTACACCCCCCCCAAACCCTAAACCCTGAACCCTGAACCCTGAACCCTCAATCCCAAGCCCTTAACCCAAAGAAATGGAAATGCAAAGGTTGCAGCCGTCCCGGGGAAAAGAGCTCGGAAGCCTTGTGTAGGGCAGAATTGATCAACCCTAAACCCTAAACCCTAAACCATAAACCCTAAACCATAAACCCTAAACCATAAACCCTAAACCCTAAACCACCTAGGCCCTGTAGCCCCCCCCCCCCCCCTCCGCAGTTCTAATTTGTTTGGCCGGGTTAGCGTTTTAGGGTTTAAGGCCCAGAGCTTAGGGCAATCAGTCTCTTGCAAGATAAAGCGGACCGTACAACGAGATCATCCAAGTAGGAGCTGCAATTGGACGGGAGGGGTGGGGGGTGGGGGGGGGGGCGAAACGTACATTGACATGCGGTTCGGTTTAAGGTATCTACCTCCGGGGTGTGTTAGGAGACATGTTTATGATGCAGGCTTGGGGTGATACTACATGCAGGGCTCCGCTCAACCGCCATGAACTGATACAGACTCCTGGAGCCATACTTGAAGGTTCATGGTACTTACTAACCAATTATAGCTGGGCTAATAACCCTACTTATAAGTGGGATAACCCCTATAAGGCCCTTTAGGGGTATTATAAGTAGGGTTATAAGTACAGTTATAATTGGTTAGTAAGTACCATGAACCTTCAAGTGGGGGGAGATCATGGCCTGGCTTGTAGGGCTTGAGGTTTGTGATTTAGGGTACCCAAAGAGCCAAACAACACCGCAAGCACGGACTATGCTCGCTAATGGGGGTCCTATACTACTACTACTACTACTACTACTACTAATAATAATAATGATGATAATATGATGTATGATGTGGAACGGGTCGTTTGCTGTGCCCTGAACCATAGACTCCGAGACCCTGTGAAGCCCCTGACTCCGAGATACCCTGCATGCCCCGAAGCCGCAAGCTACGAAAGCTCCCAACCTTAGAGTATAGGTTTATAGGGTTCATGGGTCCTATAGGTCTTGAAGGAACCGTATCGGAGCCCTACCCAGAGTCCTAAACCCTGCATTCTCATCCCTTGCGTTGCGCTTTTTTGGAGCTCCAGCTGCAGGAACCCGGAGTAGCATGAAAGCTAAAGCCTTTTAGGGTTAGAGTTTAGGGTTTAGGGTTGTAGAGTTTAAAGCCTCAGCCGCAAGGTCCCGCGTGCAGCTAAGTGCCCCGAGACACAGCAATGGAAGTTGCTGCAAGTTGGATTTGTCTACGCAACCACGATTCGGATCAACCCGCTACTGCTACTGCTACTTTCGAACTTGGGGGTCAGGGTCGCAGCACCGACACAACACCAGACTGATCTAACTTCACACTCTGACACACCCAAGCCAAACTTAGCCAATCTGAGCCATTTAGCCCGATCCCCACAAAAACGCCAGCTAAGCAGCACCTGGTCCCTCTGTCACGTCCTGGCCACGGCGCTCTCATGTGGCGGCAGCTCGTCGACGGAGAGACGGCCAGGGCCGCCCCGCGCGCGACGCGCGCCGGGGCTCGGGGGGAGGCAGGCTCCTTCTTGCTGGTTCTTAGTAGGGTTTAGGGTTTAGGGTTTAGGGTTTAGGGTTTGGCGTTTAGGGTTTAGGGTTTAGGGTTTAGGGTTTGGGGTTTGCTGTGATAGGGCGTAGATGCTATAGGTTTCGGAACAAGCTCGAAAGCTTCGTGAGGTGCGAAGAGCAGCTTTGGCCCGATTGTGGAGGGCCATCTAACACTTTTCTCCCACCCCACGCCGTCCAAGCCGGCAAAGCCACCCAAACCTATTCCTTTTAGGGTTTAGGCCTAAACTCAGACAACAGAACACATATTCAGTTTCATGACGTTCGTTGGATCCGAGAGTCAAAGGAATTGGGGGGTAGTTTCAGGCCAAGGGGGTAGGAAGGTCAGGCCAGCCAGGGCCAGGGTCAGCGGGTCAGCGGGGTCAGGGAGGGCCGTGGCGGCCAGGTGGGGGACAGGGAGTCACCAGGCGGCCAGGACCCGGCTGCCGCGAGGGGTCCGAGGCCCTGGGTGTACCCCCCCTGAAAAGGTCAGGGACTTCCAGGTCATGACCTGACAGTTATTTTCGGGGACCGGTGCTGGTACTGGAGGAGAACGTGTTCCGGCACCGGGCCCATCGTAGCGACCTGGGTCGGCTTGTGCCATCGAGGTCAAAGGGCTTAAGCGCCGCCCCGCAACGTATGGGGGGCGGCCTTGGCCCTGAGTAGGGTTCTTGCTGCAGGGAATGTGGGAGTTAGGGATTATAGGGGGACATAAGGTACCCCAAACCCCCCCCATTCCCTAGTAGGGGCCAGTGGCTCTTCGGGTAGTCAACACTGCCAACATTATCACCCTTGCCTTCCCCCAAAATTCTCAGTCGAGTTAGATAGGCCCCTATCATTAGGTTTAAGGTTTTGGGCTTTAGGGTTTTAGAGTTTTAGGGTTTAGAGTTTAGAGTTTAGGGTTTAAAGGGTTGAAATTTTGGGGGTTTGGCCTCACCAGGGCCCCCGATGACCTATACAATGGAATCTGGGAACGTGCGACCCAGAGTGTCCAAGAACCGTTAGTTTAGGGTTTAGGGTTTAGGGTTTAGGGTTTAGGGTTTAGCGTTTAGGGTTTGGGGTTTAGGGGGTTACCGAGCATACCTTGGACAATACGGGGTTTAGGGCTTAGGGACAGTATATTTCTTACGGTATTCCCAAAGAGCCCAAGACCCCTTAATGAACGAAATATACCCTTAAGTCTTGTATAGCGATCCTCATGAGATTTAAGTGTTGAATTTGCGGAGTTTTCCTCAGACAATCTCGCGTCTGGGGCTTAGGGCTGAGGAATGATGGAGCATACCTGAGATAAATATAGGGTTTGGGGTTTAGGCGTATTTCTTTCCCTTAATTAGGGAAGATACCTCAAATCATGATAGAGATTCCTAATATGACTTAAGGTATTTTCCTTAAGGGGTGGTGCGCTCTCTGGGTCACCCTGAACCCTAAACCCTAAACCCCAAACCCTAAACCCTAAACCCTAAACCTCTCAGGCTGTTCCTATTGGGGATTGTGTTTGGGCTCCCTGGGCTGCGCAGACGCGACCGCAGGAGTCCACGATCCCGGCTGAGCCGCCGGCAAACGCCTTCGTCCGGCCGGACGGAAGCCGCGTCCAGGCCCCCCCATGTGTGGGCCATTCGGCGCAGGGGTGGGGTTTAGGGTTTAGGGTTTAGGGTGTAGGGTTTAGGGTTTAGGGTTTAGGGCGTAGGGTTTAGGGTTCAGGGTTTCAGGGCATGCCAGGATACGTGCACGACTTTGTTTGTTCCAATATGTAAATGTATATCATGTCCAGATGATGTCCACGTCATGAGAAAACGTCTTCTTCTTACAAGGGCAGTATAGGGATTATCATCTTTTAATCTTAAGCAGATAGGAGCTTAGGGTTTAGGGAAGCTGCATAGGCTCGTGGACACCTTCATTCACTGGTTCCCTGGTCGGTCTGGAGGCTTCAACCCTAAACCCTAAACCCTAAACCCTAAACCCTAAACCCTAAACCCTTTTGTCTCCTAGCAGCCTTGTTGGGGTTGAGGGTTTATTCCAAATTGCTGGAGAACTCAACCAAAAAATAAGCATATTCTTCCTTATCGGGAAAATACAGGGATTGTTCGTTATATTTTAATGTTCGGGGTTCTTAAGCAAGTACTAGTTTAGGGCTTAGGGAGGTTACATTCCTTAACCTCAATATGGCTCCTCACCTTCTTTTTGAAGGGTTCTGAAGTACGGGCCCTTGGGGTATATAAGGGTTAGTATGGCGCCATGCCACTACCCGAGGGTCGACATCCTATTGCCGCTTCATAAGTGACTCGACCTCGTTATCTTACGCTTCTCTTTCGATGCCTGGCCGCGAGTTCTTCCTAGGCCCTTCCCTAAACCCTAAACCCTAAACCCTAAACCCTAAACCCTAAACCCTAAACCCTAAACAAGCCTATATGCCCTATTACTAGGTCGGACCTCGGGATGCCCAAGATATTCCCTTATTAGAGTTTAAGAGGATCATGTTGAGGAATGTTTTTCAGAGGGTTTCTAGGGCCATCCCAGGTAGCCCTAAGCCAATATTCAACCTTGGGTGCTCCGTCATCAGACGTTTAGACTTGCAGAGTCCGCTTTCGGGTTTTGTGGTTTGTGGTTTAGGGTTGCCTGTTCACTTGGCTGCCGCTCTCCGATTCAATCGGGCTGTGGAGTTGATGATCTATGGCTTGTAATGGTTGAGGGATGGTGTGGGCAGCTCTTCAGATGTCTCCTGCTGTGCCCTATTGTTGGGTTTAAGAGGGTCTTGTTTTCTGGAATCTTTTCTATCAGAAGCCGCGTGCTCACTTTAAACCAAACTTCACCAATTTCTGTAATATCCCATCACACTCACCTGCTGCAGGCGTTAGTTAGATCTTTCAGGATTCTCCAATCCTTGCATCGATGCCCGGGAGGCTCAGATCCAGCGTGCTGTAAAAAAAGAGGGTCTTGTTTTCTGGAATCTTTTCTCAGAGGCGTTGAGAGGCCCAGCCTAAATTATCGGGTTCAGTGGGGTAGAACCCGAAACCCCTTAACCCTTCACCCTCAACTAGCCCCGTTGAGAAAATGCACGGCTGTTAGGGGATTCTAGTTCCCCCTTTTATCATCCTTTAGTATTTCTATAAGGGGGAGAATCCCAACTTCCGAGCATCATCATTCGTCATTGCCCAACAGGAGGCATGTCCTTTCCCTCGAACTCAAAGCCTACTTCCCAGAACCCCAAAACCCTAAGCCCCGCCAAAACCGCCACACTCTGGCGCCAGCTCCACGGCGAGTCGACTTTAGTGCGGTGGACTTGCCGGGGCAACGGACACCTGGCTGCAAAAGTTGTCTCCTGATCTGGAAAGGTTGACGGCGGCACCGTAACGAGCGATAACCCAATGTATCTTGTTGTGGCTACGCTTAAGTACCCCTCCCCCCCTAAACCCTAAACCCTAAACCCTAAACCCAAAAAAAACAAGTGTGGGGAGTTTATTCGAGCACCTTTTCGTGCGTTGGCGAAGGGGGGTTCGGTGCAAAATTGCTCCCCTAAGCCTCATGAGCCATCACCCCCCCCTCGGTACTTTCGGATGAATTGTAGGGGTCGGACTACTTACGAATAGTATTCCCTGATGGTCCCTTGGAATAAATTTACTATAGTAACCCCCCCCCCCCAAAAAAAAAAAAAAAAAAAAAAAACCTATTCTAATCATTAAGGCCCCTATGGTAGCCCTAACCCCTAAACCCTACACCCTATAGGCCCTATATTGCGGGGGTCGGACGGCCGCTGCGTTGGCCGAGGCTCATGGAGAAAGCCAGAGCTTTTCCCCTTGGACCAGGACCGTGCGGCCAAGTGCGCAGTGTTTGTAAGGCCTTATAATTAAGCCCCAAACCCTAAACCCGAAATCCTAAACCCTAAACCCGAAACCGTATACACCCTAAACCCTATAGACCCTAAACCCTACTCTTGATTTAGTCTCCTAGTTAAGGCCTTAAGCCCCAAACCTTATGTTGGTTGGTGGTCTCTTCAAGTAGGGTTTCTGTTTTCTAGGGGGTCCTTATTAGGGTACCTAGGGGCTATATTAAGGTATAAGGCTAACAGATAAAGAGGCCAAGGGCCTGTACAACCCAAACCCTAAACCCTATAGACCCTAAACCCTATCCTTGATTTAGTCTCCTAGAAAGCACGGATTTCCGTATTCGGGTGGAGGGGAAGCACGATGCCCGAAACACCAAGCACGAAACCCTAGAACCCACTTGCCGCTAAAGATCAACGCTCCCTTATCAGGCCTTAACGCTTGGGTTTAGGGTTTTTAGGGTGTAGGGTTAGCAAATGAGTGGGCTCCGATTGTGGCGAGACCCCCTGAAGGTGGGTTCAGATCACAGAGGGGAGGGAATTAAGGCTCCTAAACCCTAAACCCTAAACCCTAAACCCTAACAAGCCAACAAGCCAACAAAGCCTTCGTCCGCCACTCCGAATCCAGGAGCAGCTGCAAACGCCCAGCCGGCGACGCTTTGGCATTCTACTCCGCGCGGTTTAGGGTTTAGGGTTTAGGTTCAGGGTTTAGGGTTTAGGAATAAGCCCTATAAAACCTAAACCCCAAACCCCAAACCCCAAACCCCAAACCCCACGTGGCGCCTTGTGGGAGTTGGGTTCTCGTTAAGACCGTGCATTCTTAGGGTTAACCTGGAAAGAACGACACCCAGGGGTTTAGGGTTTAGGGTTTAAGTTTAGGGCTTAGGGCTTAGGGTTTAGGGTTTAGGGTTTAGGGTTTAGGGTTTAGGGTTTAGGGTTCCACAGCCTCCAAAACCCCTGGTTTAGCGTTTAGAGATATTAAGGCTTCCGGCCCCTCAATCATAATGGAAAAAGCCTTGGGGTTTAGGGTTTAGGGTTTCGGGTTTAGGATGTCGGGTTTTGGGTTTTGGGTTTTGGATTTTGGGTTTTGGGAGCATTCCTCAATAAAGGGACCAAGAATACTCTAGGAATGCGTGGTCTTGAGCAGCATCTGTACTACTGTTTGCTTAAGAACCCCCCCCCCCCCGACAAATGCATAATATTCTTCCTGATAAGAAGAGTACTATTATGGGGGTTGTTATCTTCTAGTTTTTTTGGGGGGGTTCTTCAGTAGTTTATACCCGTTTGCACGTTACACAGGGGGTGTAGTGCAGCATCGCCTGCCTACGCAGGGTTTAGCGCCTGAATCCGGCTCTGCGGAGCTTGGGCAAGCGAAAACATGTGCAATGATAGTACTGTGCTGGGTCTACTCACCTAAATCCCAAAACCTTAAAAACCCTCAACCCTAAACACCTCCAAAACTTACGCCCTAGTTCCTAAAGCCGAAACCCGAAGCCCTCAACCCTCTCAGCCCTGAAGCCTTCGGTTCCCCTGGCAGGGTTGAGGTTTAAATTTGAGGGCCAGGATTTCCTAAGCCCTAAACCCTGAACCCTGAACCCTGAACCCTAAACCCTAAACCCTAAACCCTAAACCCTGAACCCCAAGCCCTAGACCACAACCCTAAACCCCAAAAGCAAAGACAGGTTCCAAGAGCAGCTGCGGCGCTACGAGGCTGCGACTGTTGGGGGCTGGAGGGTTTAGGGTTTAGGGTTTAGGGTTTAGGGTTTAGGGTTTAGGGTTAGGGTTTAGGGTTTGGGGTTTAGGGTTTTGGGTTTAGGGATTAGGGTCTAGAGGGTTTAAGTGTTCCCTACACCCTAATCCCTAAACCCTAAACTCTACACCCTTCTGGTTCAGGTGCGGAGCCCCGGGTTTGGGGGGGGTCTACAACCATCTTTTCGGTCTAAGGGTTTAGGGTTTAGGGTTTAGGGTTTAGGGTTTGGGGTTTGGGGTTTAGGGTTAAGTACCAAACCCTCCCCTCCCGCCCGACCACAAATTCTATATGGGGTCGGCTCGGACAAACAAGCCATGCTCGAGGAGCGTTTGTAGCTACGGTTTAGGCTTTAGGGTTTAGGGTTTAGGCTTTAGGGTTTAGGGTTTAAGGACCCCCCAGAACCCAACCGTAACCTTCCAAGGCCCTAGCCCTAAAACCCAAAGCCCCCCCACCTGCTGACTATCAAGCAGGTTTGGTATTGGACTGGGTTTAGGGTTTAGGGGTCTGGGGACACATGTTCAAAACTAGGGTGTGCTTTGTATTCGGCTGAGCGGTTTACGGAACTTCCGGCGCTAGGTTACTCAACCACTGCTTGACGCACAACAGTCCCTAAACCCTAAACCCTAAACCCCATACCCCATAAACCCCAAACCCTAAACCGTTTACGGGGGTAGTTCTGGAACCTCGCGCTGGCCACACTTGCCACACAAATCAAGCCTTCCTGGCGGTCTACCCTCAGGCCACCTCACTTCGCGCAGGGATTAGTTTGGTATTACCCAGAAGAAGGTAACCCCTGCTTCTACGACAAGCCCACCAACCCCCTGAACATCCACCCTGGCTTGGCTTTCTTCTGGCTGGCTACTAGAAGTCTAACCTTTTGGGTTGTTGTATAGACTGTATAGAGCCTAAAAATTCAACTTTTTGGAAGGATTCCGAAGTCAGCCAAGCTAGGCTGACATTGTGGAGCACTTAGCCTTGAGCCAGGAGCAATTGGAGAAGAATGACGCCTAGTTGTCCTCCGAACCCCTCAAACCGAAACCTTGAGACTCTAAAGCGACTTTGAAAGTAGCCCGAAGCCCCATACCCCCAGGGTGTATCGGGCCGGTTGACGGTTTGGCTGCCTAGGCAGAGCAAGAAGCCGAGCGCCTACGAAAGGCACCGGGGGATTTGAGGGTTTAGGGTTTAGGGTTTAGCCTAAGAAATGCAGCATACCCCTGAAATAGTAAGGGGTATGGTAAAATCCTCCCTTAGACTCCCTTTATATTATACTTTCGTAAGTTAAGGGGTATGGGTTTCGGGGTATGTTGATTTTTCTTACATTTATTAGGGTTTAGGGAGGACATCCTTCCCCCCCACAATCCGTTCCCCCCCCCCCCCCCCCTTGATTTGTCGCGAGTCTACCTCCGGCCAATGTCTCAGTTAGTCTAGGCTCAGGTGGACAGTACCCAAACCCCAGGCCCCAAGCTAGGTAGGTTTAGGGTTTAGGGTTTAGGGCAAGTTTAGGGTTTCTGGTTTAGGGTCTAGGGTCGAGGCATGTGGTTAGGGGTGAGAAAGGCTAGAGTTTTAGCGAAGCCTTCAGCCGCCAGCTTTGAGCTAGGGTTTAGGGTTACCAGAGCCCCTTTACGGTAGAGTTTAAGGTTTAGGTTTCGGGTTTCGGTTTTTTTTGTAGGACAAGCTCCCCTCGCCCCCAGATCCTGGACGCTCTCAATCTTTCAAGCACCGGCCTCACACCCAAACCCTCAACCCTGGTCCTTGCATTGGCAAGGACGGGACGTCAACCTCAACCCTAAATGGACCCTAACACGCCCCTGAGCTCCGAACTCTAAGAGCCCTTGAAACCTTAAGAGCCCGAAGCACTAGGACGCCTGCCCTACGCCCTACATCCCGAGTCCCAACCCCCCCCCCCGCCGCCCCTGGAAGCCCTTCCTTCTTGAAACACCCTGAACCCCCGAACCCCTGAACCCGCAACCCTTCGAGCCCCAAGACCACTACCACCCTAAGTCCTAAACCCTAGACCCTAGACCCTAGACCCTAAACCCTAAAACCCTAAACCCTACAGCCTAAAACCCGAAACCCTAAGCCCTAAACCCTAAAACCCAAAACCTAAACCCTAAACCCTACACCCTAAAACCCTAAACCCTAAAACCCTAAAACCTAAAACCTAAAACCTAAACCCTAAATTTAAACCCGAAAACCCTAAACCCTAAACCCTAGAAAACTAAACCCTAAATCCGAAGCTCCAAGGAGGAGGAAGAGAGGGAGGCTGCCGAGGCTGCACGGCGGAAGAGGCCGTTCATGGCCGAGGGGGTCACGGTTTTTCCATGGTGTCTTTGGAGCCTTGGGGTTTAGGGGTTTGGGGTTTAGGGTTTAGGGTTTGGGGTTTGGGGTTTAGGGTTTGGGGTTTAGGGTTTAGGGTTTATAGGGTTTAGGCAACCAGGAGGCCAGAGCCGAGCTGGGCTTCAGGTTTCGGAGTTTGGGCAGGCGGAACGATGCCCGACAACGTAGCAGACTTGCCCGTTAGTTGCCCGTTACCTGCATGTTTTGCAAACCAAACCCAAAGCCCTGACCTATGATTACAATGCCATCTCCAGTCTTGTCCCGTATTCCCGCCCAATGACTAAAGAACACGCTTGAAACGATCGTGAATATACATGATGGTATAGTCATGAACCCTACGTGAAGAACCCCAAAACCTACCTTTTTGTAGGTTACCTAAGAATCCTAGAAGGAGCAGTAGTAGTAGTAGTAGTAGTAGTAGTAGTAGTAGTAGTAGTAGTAGTAGTAGTAGTAGTAGTAGTAGTAGTAGTAGTAGTAGTAGTAGTAGTAGTAGTAGTAGTAGTAGTAGTAGTATAGAGTCAGAAGTCTACAACGCAGTAGGCTTTGGGTTCTTAAGGTAGGCCCTGAACCCTAAACCCTAAACCCTAAACCCTAAACCCTAAACCCTAAACCCTAAACCCTAAACCCCTAGCCCCCTAACCCCCTAACCCCCTAAACCCTAAGCCTCCCAATCGGCAGGGCTGAGAAGCTGGCGGCTGCCCCGGCAGCCGTGGCTGCGCAGAAGGCCTCGGCTCGTGAGCGGATTGGGGGGGGGGGGGTTTAGGGGTTAGGGTTTAGGGTTTAGGGCATAGGGCTTACGGGTTTCGGGTTCAGGGTTCAGGGTTTAGGGTTTTGGGGTCCTTATCTTCCAGTTTTGTTCATGCAGAACCCAGTTAAGTCATCAACAGCATGTGTTCTGTTCGTATCCCTCCAGAGGGGACTGGAATAGGCTCAAAGCTTGCAGACCCTAAGGTTGTACCTGCTAGCCCTAAACCCTAAACCCTAAAGTGTTGACGGAAACGGAGTTTACATGGCCTGGAGCTTTTCGGACTCAAGGTTTGGGACTGTGGGTTCGGGGGCAAGACCCGGTGAGGATGGTAACTAAAACGTTGTTCAGGAACCGGTTCTTAGGAATGCCCTGGTTTAGTTTAGGGTTTAGGGTTTAGGGTTTAGGGTTTAGGGTTTAGGGTTTAGGGTTTAGGGTTTAGGGTTTAGGGTTTAGGGTTTAGGGTTTAGGGTTTAGGGTTTAGGGTTTAGGGTTTAGGGTTTCACCCAAAAGCACTACAATCAGATGTCACGTCTGGAATGATTGCCGGAAACCTTGAACCCGTGCTCCAGAATCCCTAAACCCACCCAGAAGCTCCAGGCTCCTAGGGTTTAGGGTTTAGGGTTTGTTTAGGATTTAGGGTTTAGGGTTTAGGGTTTAGGGCCTATATCATTGGTCCCACTTGTACAACCACATGGAGCGGGCTGGTAAAAGTCCGTCTGCTTGGAAGGTGATCCGTCAGACGCACATCCCGAAGTCCAAAAAGTTTAGGGCGTCTGATGATGCTTGCGATATCAGCACTGTTAGACCAATTTCTATTGCAAGCATTTTCTGGAGGCTTTGGGACCCCAGTGAAGCATGCAGACACACTGAGCTGGCTGGACTCTTGGACACCTCAGGAAATGAATGGTGGTGCTGTGCAAAGCCTTGCTGCCAACACCGAGCATTACATGGCGAGCCTTGACTATTCGCAGGGGCCTTTGATCGTACACACCCTGCCTTGGCGGTCCATGCTTTTCGTGAGCTTGGCATGCCGGCTTGCACCACCCAGAGACTCCAAAACCCATGAATTAAGGAATACCCCTTAAATCGTGTTAGGGATCCTATTCTGATATTCCTTAATTAAATACGATTTAAGGGATATTCCTTAAAACAACGGGTTTTTGGAGTCTCTGGGGCAGCCAACTGCTTGCCAGCGTTTGGCTCTCTCGGGAGAGATTCTTGCAGCGTACTGCTCTAGCAGTCTCTTGCAAGGGGATCCGTTCCCATATCAAAGGACAGTTGCCATAGGGCCATAGGGGGTGTTTGCGAGAATAAGGGGCCCCGTAAAAATTTTGACCCCACATAGTAGAGTCCCTGACAAAAAGGACCCCCCCCATGTGGTACCCCTAATTTCGAAAACATCCCATATATGCTGCTTCTAAGTCGAAGTCCTCGGTCGAAGCCCTAACCCTAAACCCAGACTGCAAGCCTCATAAAACCTTGAGCCCTCATCTTCCCAGGGGGCCAAGTGAACTCCAAAATTGGGGGTCATCCACATTACATGACCATAACTCTTATTAAAGTAATCTGGACCATAAACTTTATGCCCTGTACCCTTTTCGGGTTCACGTGGTCCCCAACGGGTTAAAACCCCCAGGCCCGAACCCTAAAGCCTAAACCCTTAACCCTAAACGCTAAACCCCCCAAAGGCAGCCGCGGCCGCTGCGGCGGCGGGCAATGCCGCAGAGACCATCGCAGCCATCCCAGCCTGGGAGGGTTTAGGGTTTAGGTTTTAGGGTTTAGGGTTCAGGGTTTAGGGTTTAATTCGGGTTTAGGTTTCTCTTCGGACCTCCTTCAGCTCCCATTGTATTTTGTATCTCAAGGTTCTCGGAATGCTGGGAACCCTTCCATCCTCCAGGAACCCTTAGAAACCCCTCGAGATATCCAGAAAACTGTAGAGAATCCTACGTAACCCTAGATCAATCCTAGAGAACCCTAGGAACCCTGGAAACCTTACGACTCCGATGTAGGAAGGAACCAGACAAATCCTTATAAACCTTACGCATTCCAGGAGCTCCAATAAGAACCCGAAGAACCCCAGGAACCCCTGACAAACCCTAGAGCCCAGTTGCTTCCCTAAACCCCAAACCCTAGACCCTAAACCCTAGACCCTAAACCCTAGACCCTAAACCCTAAACCCTAAACCCTAAACTAAACCCTAAACCCTCAACCCTCAACTCTTCTTGCCGCCGAGGACGGGGCACGCCTCGCCGAGCTGCTCTCACTGAGGTGCAGAACCCTGCCCCCCCCCCCCCCTCTCAGGGTTTAGGGTTTAGGGTTTAGGGTTTAGGGTTTAGGGTTTAGGGTTTAGGGTTTAGGGCCCCAGCCCCAAAGTCTACGGGAAGTTACACGGTCCCCGATAATGTGGTCCCTTACCTTCTGTAAAGGGTTCTGAAGTAGGGGCCCTTGTTTTTTCGCATATTTGCAGGGTGTGTAAGGAAGGGTTCCTCGCCACCCTAAGACAAGGGGCCCAAGATCCCCCCCAAAGAAAGTCAGAATCGCACTTGAAGGGTTCGGAGGGGGGTTCAAGGAGTATGCATCCCAAGGTTCCCTCATACTCCCCAATACTTCCAAAGGCTCCCTAAGCTTCCCCCAAGCTTTCCCAGGTACCCCGCCCCCATGACGCCCCCTCCCTTGCGGCAAGGATCTCACAATCGACTGTTTCGGCCCTTAAAAATGAACCTGTGAGTCGAGTTTAGGGAGCTGTTGATGATTTAGTAGGGCCCATTCCTAGAAAGGAATGTGCACTTTCAGGGTTTAGGGTCTCGGAATGTGCCCCGGATGTCGGGTTAAGGCACCTTAGGTTTCAGGATTTTGGGGCTGAGGGAGCAGGGTGCTTGGGTTTATTATCAGAATCCAGCAGTCCCCACCCCTCATCCCCCCCCCCCCAACCAAAGAAAAGGCTCCGACAGGCTTTTGTTCTTAGAATGCATTCGGAAATGACGCACCCTATGTGATGTATGTGATCTCTTAAAGGTCGACATAGGGTAGTTGGAATTCACAGCTCGTTGGAATTCAGAACCGGTGAGTAGAGACCGAACCTCACCCTAAACCCTAAACCCTAAACCCTAAACCCCAAACCTATCAACCCATGGACATTGAGGGCTTAACGATTTGCGGCTTCGGGGCGGAGGGAGGCGTGGAATTCCCTCACCCTGAACCCAAAACCCGAAGCCCGAAACCGCCCAACGCAGTGTGTGCACAGTGTTTTGGGGTTAAGGTTCATAGGGTTCATCGGGTTCATGGCAATTGGGTTTGGGAATAGGGTTTAGGGTTTAGGGTTTAGGGTTTAGGGTTTAGGGTTTAGGGTTTAGGGTTTAGGGTTTAGGGCTTAGGGTTTAGGGTTTAGGGCCCCTCATCCCCAGAGCTCCCCCCCATCCCCATGCAGGGAGCCACCAGAGGATGCCACCGGGCAGTCGGACGGCTCCTTCCAGTTAGCTTTGGAGGCTCGGGGGTGTGGGGTTTAGGGTTTAGGGGTTTAGGGGTTTAGGGTTTGGGGTTTAGGGTTTAGGGTTTCGGGTTCTGGCTTTAGGGTTTCAGGGTTCAAAAAACATTGCCTGGGTGTTGTTTCCACACTCGGTGCAAGTTCTTTGCTATTTGGTTTCTTCCCCTAAACCCTAAAGCCTAAACCCTAATACCCTAAACCCTAAACCCCAAACCCTAAACCCTAAACGCGCAACACAACTGGTCTGGGTTGCCCGGTCTGGTCCCTCGGACACAAGCGTCGGTGTTGTCTCGTTGGGCCGAGGGTTCGAGGTCTAGAAGTTCTATGCTTGGTAGCCGCACCCCCTTGAGGCCACGGCAAGTAGTAGTTGCGAAGCTCTGAGCCCTAAACCCTACAACCCTACACCCTCAAACCCCCAAAACCCTAAACCCCTAAACCCTCAAACCCCCAAAACCCTAAACCCCTAAACCCTAAACCCCTAAACCCTAAAACCCCCCTAAACCCTAAACCCAAAACTCCGAAAAGCCCCAAACCCGGCAAGCATATAAGGGGTATGTAAGGGGTACCCCAACCCTAAACCCGAAACCCGAAACCCTAAACCCGGTAATTCCCCTAGGATGGTGCGACCATCCGCTGGTCCAAGAGGCTCTGGCCTCAAGTTGGCCGTGCACTTTACCCCCAGGGGCTCCAGCGTCTTAGGGTTTTTGGTACATATGTATGTATAGGGGTTTAGGGTTTAGGGTTTAGGGACCCCAGGGGCGGCAAGAGTCTCCAAACAGACGTTGTTCTACAGGTCCTCTTAACGGGATTGGCCATGGGATATGAGTCCTTTTAAAGGGAATCCCTACGGAATAGTGCTTACTTTAATTACGGAAGGTTGTTAGGGGGTTGACGGCTTTGTTTGTAAGCTCATTACGTTCGTGACTTCAGTTTCTCATCTCAGCTCGAAGTTTCGGAGGCGTCGGTGGTTTGAGGGGTTTCTGGTTTTGGGATTTGCGGTTTAGGGACGTACAGGTTCGATGGCTTTAGACTGTTAGGGGCCACATGACAGGTGATTCAAACATTTAGTGAAACCCAGCCCTAAGCCCAGTTAAGAAAATCCTAAGCCCTAGCTTTAAGGGAACCCTCATTTGGGCAACCCTAAAGCCAAAACTCCTCCTTTTGGCGAGGTACGCATACTCTTTAGGTTGTTTTTTCAAAGGCTGTGTTATGCGCTCTTCCTATCATTTGGGTGAGGGTTCGGGGCTGGATTAGATGTTCCCCAAGATACGTAGGTGTATCCTGTGCATGTACATAGTATTCCGTACAAGGAAACCGAAACCCGAACCCCCCCGAGGCAGCAGAAGCGCTTAGGCATGGCTGGCCAAATCTTGGGTTTAGGGTTTAGGGTTTAGGGTTTAGGGTTTAGGGTTTAGGGTTTAGGGTTTAGGGTTTAGGGTACTTTGGTGTGTTTCTGGCCCGGCCAGTGGGAGTGGTGACGAAGCTTAGAGTCGAGTACTCCTGCCGAACGATACCGAGACCATGCCGCAGAAGGCCGCAGCAACGATGAGTTTGTTGCAGAACCTTCTTGTCAGGCAGTAAGCCCCTAAACCCTAAACCCTAAACCCTAAACCCTAAACCCTAAACCCTAAACCCTAAGCGACAGGACCACCTGAAATTTACACTGGCGCTCACTGCAGGTGCAGATGCTTCTGCAGGGGCCGGCAGAAGCGGTTTTAGGGGGTCACGACAACTGGCATCGCCAGTTTGGTTGGATCGGACCTGGCCGCCGCCCTGAGAGACTCGGAGTCAGAGAATGAGCTGGCGGTCGGCTTGAATCAGGCATTGTCAAAGGCTTACAATATTCAGGATCCAACTGTCGGGATAAATTAGTTCAGGAGTATTCCTTGACCCCAAATAGGACCCCTGTCACAATTTAAGGTATACCTGGGACCCTCGTTACCTACAGTTTTATGGATTTATACCTGCTACTTAACGGTAGTTACTACTAAACTGTAGGCAAATAGAGTCCCAGGTATTCCTGATTTCAGCGGCAAGGTATATTCCCCTAAACCCTGAACCCCTAAGCCCCTAAACCCCTCAACCCCTCAACCCCTCAACCCTAAACCCAAAGCCCTGTCTCCGTGATTTTGGCATCAGGCCCGACGGGTCCTGGCGCAAGCCGGAGCATCGCCGAGCTGGCTGGGCAGGGGGGCACGGACCACTTTTGCTTGCAAGGGTTAGGGTTTAGCATATGTCTCTTTGTTATATATATATATATTATGTATACATATATATATGTGTATATATATATATATATATATTCATTGTTTTGTTTTGGAGGGGGGGGTGGTTCGGGGTTGAGGATTGAGTGAGGATTGAGGGCAGGGTGGGGAGTTGGGGGGGGTGCGAGGCCCTGCGTTAGGTCACACCTCCGCATCCCTAAGCCAACAAAGCAAGGTCGAGGGCGATGGGTTGATTTGCTGTGGTTTTGAGAGCTCGACAAGGGATGTTTCTGTGGCTCGAGTACTACACACACATGAATACGGAGCAACGGCTAAACACAGCGTGTATAAGTATAGAAGTATAGACACACACACATATATATACAAAGCTTGGCCTTATACCCTAAACCGCCCAAACCCCAAACCAATCCAAAACCCTTGCGTCCCGAAGCCCGCGACCCAGACAGTCAATCCACAGACCCGAGGTCGGGGATCTGGAGCAGGAGAAGTATGTACCTCCCACTGCCAGGGGCCCGAAGGCACAGGGTCTTTGCAGCCCAGCGGTACCCTTTTGCCCCGTTTTGTTTGGTTGCAGGTTCCCTTTGCAAGTAACCAACCCCGCAAAGGGTACCCTTGATGTCATATGGGTGGTTGTCAAAATTGTGGTCCCTTTCTGGATTTTCTCTTGTCATGTGGCACCTAGTATTTAGGGCACCCCAAAAGGGATCCTAATTTTGACAACCACCCGCATGGTTACTGAACTACCGAAAGGGGACGACCGGGAGGTCGAGGGTTTGGGGCTGAGGTAGGGCATCCTTAAGTGTAGGGTGAAGCCACGACGCCCCCTAAACCCTAAACCCTAAACCCTAAACCCTGAACCCTGAACCCTGAACCCTAAACCCTAAACCCTAAAACCCTAAAACCCTAAACCCTAAACCCTAAACCGTGGAACCCCCCCTAACACCCTAAATCCTGAGCTCTCTACTCTCATCATTGAGAACCTTAAGCCTGACCTAAGCTGGTCGTCGTTAAAAGCCCTCCACCCTACAACCCGAAACCTGAAAGCAACCTAGCACCCTCAAGCCCTGGGGGCTGTACCCCGAAGCCCTAAGCCCTATAATATCCCTCCCCCTATCTTCAACCCTCCCCACCCCCTATTAGACATTACTCCCCATAACTGTAATATAAACGAAATGGGGGGTAATTGGGGGTATTCAGTATTAGGGGGTAGGGGGGTTTGATGTTAGGGGAAGGGGATTACAACTCTGCGCGCCAAGCCCCGAACTGAGTGACCCTGAAACCCAACCCCTCATGCGACACCCGAGATCTCGAGTCCATGAGCAGGGCCTTCCCTGTGCAGGCTTAGGGTTTAGGGTTTAGGGTTTATGGTTTAGGGTTTGGCGTTTTGGGTTTAGGGTTTAGGGTTGAGGGCTCAGCACTCAGCAGCCAGTCCCCAAAGCCAAGCCCGAGATCAGGAAGCCTGGAGCCAAGCCCGAAACACAGCCGGTTTAGGGTTTAGGGTTTAGGGTTTGGGGTTTGGGGTTTAGGGTCTGACTTTCTGTGTCGAGGCTCTGGCATGCGTCATTGTCAGTCCCCAAGCTCAAACACGAATGAAGGAGATGAACGCGACCAGACAACAAGGGAACCCTAGCCCCCGCAAAGGTCAAGGCAAGGGTCACAAGGCCAAAGCTCTATAGGCATGCGAACTCGAACTTTTGAGCGTTGCAAAGAGATGCGCGAAGCCTTAAACCCTAAGCCGTATCCCTAAACGCTAAACCCAGTCTTAGGTCCGCCTACTGGAAGACGCTGGGGTCAACAGCGTCACACGCGCGTGGCTCCGGGACGCCCGGGTGCCCAGTAGGGCCAGTCGGCGGGGTTTAGGGTTTAGGGTTTGGAGTTTAGGGTTTAGGGTTTAGGGTTCATCGGCTTTAGGGGAATTCGGAAAGGGTTTGGGTGTTGGGGCTTCAGGGTTTCGGATCCGGAGGGCTTTAGGGTTTAGAGTTTGGGTGTGGGGGCGGGCATCCCTAAATCCTGTTTACCAAAACCCCTAAACCCAACACCCTACTCACCAACCCCCACCTTTAAACCCTATTTCCAAAACCCCTAAACCCTAAACCCTAACCCCTAAACCCTAAACCCCAAAACCCTAAACCCTAAACCCTAAACCAACTCTTGACTGGGGGGGGAGATTCTTATTCGTTGAGTTCTCGAGATCGGTCTATGTCCTAGGATGCCCAGTAGTGCCCTTATTCCCTTTTTGGGGGGTCTAGGTTCCCCTATAAACCCCTTTAAGCAAAAAAAGGGCACCCTTTTTAATCCTAGGTTGCTGGGCAACCTAGTTTCTGTCCGGAACGAAACATCGATGAACTGCAGATCAAGCTTCGAGGGGTTTGAGCCCCTTTGGGGGTTTTGCGAAATTAGGGGCATCTTCTTGGGGGTCCTTATGACAAGGGAATCCTGCTATTCTACCAACTGCTTAAGAACTCCCCCCAGAAAAACACATTCTTCTGTTTTTTAGGGTAATATAGGGAGTTCTTTTGTCGTTTTTGTGTTTTGTTTTTTGCTTTTTGGGGCTTCTTAAGCAAATAGTAGTCTTTCAGCGCGGTCTGTTCTTTTTGGGGGGTCTTAAGCAAATAGTAGTATTTCAGGGTCTGTTCTAGGGGTCCCCTATGTTCGTGAACCCCCCCCCCCCATTGTGGGCCTGAAGGCCTTGAACGCCCGGCCTTCGCGACGTTCTGGAGTTGTTTTCGGGGGGGTTTAGGGTTTAGGGTTTAGGGTTTAGGGTTTAGGGTTTAGGGTTTAGGGTTTAGGGTTTAGGGTTTAGGAGGCGTGCACACCTCCCACTTAGGGTTTTGGGTTTCGGGGTTAATGTTTGCAGCTTACAGTGACCTTTGCCGTTCCGCCGTCGTCCCGTCATTCATGATGAGGTTCAGAGAAGAACACCTGCACTGCGTGCTTTGTGTGTGCCCTATGGCCCTCTACATTCTTCACCGTGAACCCCAAAATTTCAAGCCCTAAACCCAAGCCCGGAACCCTAAACCTAAACCCGAAGCCCTACAATCCGAAACCCTAAACCGCCCAAATCCCTAACTTCTGTCCTAAACCCTAAACCCTAAACCCTAAACCCTAAACCATCTGCCCAGCCGGACTACGATCGGGACCTTCCTCTTCGACCGGGGCAGGCAGGAGCCCCGGCCCCCCCCCCGCGCCAAAGTTCCACCCTACTTGGTAGGCTGAGTGGTACTTTTTCCTAAACCCCTAAACCCTAAACCCTAAACCCTGAACCCTAAACCCTAAACCCTAAACCCTAAACCCTAAACCCTAAACCCTTTGGTGACGAGTCATGGTTGATGACTGGGGAGGGCCCGTGCTTGAACTTCAAGTGCACCGAGTCTCGGTTGTAGACTTCAGCGCCTAGTTAGACCCGAGACCCAAACCCCAAACCCCAAACCAGAAATCCGAAGCCCTAAAACCTAAACCCTAAACCCTAAACCCTAAACCCCAAACCCTAAACCCTAAACCCCAAACCCTAAACCCTGAACCCTAAACCCCAAGTCCGACCAGCCCTGCGACTCCAAGGCCTTTAGCCGGTAAGCCCAAAACCCTAAACTGCAACCCAGGCATCGGTTTA